CTTCTGATCAATGTGATAGTATTTTTATGGACCAAGGCCACCACCCCCCTCGCCCACTTTCCCTAACCTGCTCCTTGACAGTATACCCAGCTGGGGGTGCCTTCACCCAGTTACGCTACTATCCTCCCCCAGCCAGGTTTCAGTAAAACAAGCCAGGTCAGCATTTTCTCCTTCCAACAAATCATAGATGATATGAGCTTTGTTCCTTACTGACCTGGCATTGCACAGGAGCAAGGTAAGGGTCTGTGGTATGGTTGGGGCGACTCTTGGTACTTTCAGGCTAACAGAGTGAGTGGAAGATGGGATAGCTTTCAGATATTGATTCTGTCTTCCTTTTTGTATCATTCCCACACTATTAACACCATATCTTATCCTGCATGATCTTAAACCTAACCCTAGGCCTTCTCCCACTCCAAATAAACTTTGAAATATCTTCATTCCACTTCTTAAAGGGCATATTATTAGTTATAATTGGTATGCTCTGAAAAAGGAACATGAATTTAGGCAAGACACTCATCTTTATTGCAGAGATTTTTCCTAACCAGGAGAGATTTAAGTTTTCCCCAGGTCATCAGATCTTTATTTATTTCTTTCATTAATTTCTCATAATTATTTTTAAATAGGTCTACATTTTGCGTTGTTAGTTCGATAATCAGGTATTTAACTTTTCTCCCTACCTGAAATCCTGATATTTTTTCCAAATTTTTATTTTCCTCTTTAGTCATTTTCTTTGTTAATACTATTGTTTTATCTTTATTGATCTTAAGCCCTGATACCATAATAAAGTTATTTAGTTCTTTCAGCAATTGTTCCAAACTTTCTCCAGTATCAGACAGAGTAATCAGGAGGCCATCCGCATATGCCTTTAATTTATACACATGTCCTTTATATTTAACGCCCTTTATTTCTTCATTCTTTCTTATATTATTGTTTAAGATCTATATTATGATAAGAAATAGGAGTGGGGACAAAGGGCAACCTTGTCTTGTCCCGGAATATGTTTTAATCTGGTTATTGTTTAATATTATTTTAAGG